GAAAAAGATTACCAAGGATCGAATAGGGCAGGCTTATTTTTCAATAGATTATAGGGTTTTAGAATTTAAAGCAACCTTCACATTATCAAACTCATCCCCTTTTAAATTTCCTACTTCCTTTGTTTTTTGTGCTTTTATGAAACGTGGTTCCTTCTGCGCACTCACTTGTTGGAGGGAAGCGTAGGAAAGGCGGGGTGACTGTCTTGGGGGGCACCCTGCAGCTCTCCCTTGGGAACGGGAATGTGGACATAGACACACAGCTGTTTCCTTATTTTTCACGGGGACAACCGGGACACCTGAGGGCAGGCTTTCCTCCCGCCCACAAGTGTCTAGAGAAGACAGCGTTCCAGCTGCAGCTTGGGGGAGAGAAAGGTGAATATATGCCAGATGCGAACACGTTGTTGGCTTGGCGTGACTGTTTTGCGCATGTGACAAAGGTCCCTTGCTTGACCAGACGTTACGCAGGCTCCTGCGTCTTCCCCTGGCCCAGCGCTGCGCTTCCTTATAAAATCTGTGAGAAAAACCCTGCTGGTCCGTTTAGCCAGAAGCCCCACACTGGACGTCTGGTCACCTCAGTGTTGATCAGGTCCCTCTCCTCCACCACCCCAGGTGATGTCTGACGGCCCTCGCCATCCTTCAGCAAGGATCCTGCTAGACAGGTCCAGACGGAGGCCCCCGCCCATCCCGGCATGTCTCCTCTTAGCACCTTCCCTCACTCTCGCTCACCCCGACCCCTGGCTGCAAGTCCCACTCACCCGCCTGTGCAGTGGCGGTGGGCCCTGCACCTGCCTCCATGGCCCGAGTGCATCTTGAACAAGCGTCACTGGGTATTTCCTTCTTTAACATGTGACGAGCCAGGTGATCTGCGAAGTGCTGAGGATCCAGTTCTGGGTCCACGGCAGTCCCTGGCCTCCAGGGAACTCCTGGCAACCAGATGGGAACCCCTGTGACAGGCTGCTCTAGGACACACAGGAGACGCCCACCCCGGCTGGCTTCTGCGAGGGCGGCGATGGTCTTGCTCTGAGCGGAATTCCTGAAAGGGAAGTAGGGCTGCTCAGGCTTCGAGTAGGAGAGCCAGCATCAGGCATTCCAGACCTGACGTGGTCCACCGCGTAGAGCGCAGGAACAGCACGAGGAGAGAGCTTCACAGGGGAAACCTCGGGAAAACCCTGACTCCACAGCTGCACAGAAAGGTGAAGGCAGCTGCTTGGGCTGGGGGTCAGTGTGACAGGAGATTTATGAAGACGAGTGTGAGCTCACTTGTAAAGTGAGTGTCAAACTAACATCAACACAGGCCAGGCACAGACTGGGGGCAGGAGCGAATGGCGGAGACGAACGCAAGTCAGATGCTAACAGTTGTGATTACCCAACAGAACATAGGCAGATGCTGTTTTGGTCAATTACTCACACAGGGTTACCCTCAGTTTTTAACTAAGTCCTCAGCAAAGAGAGGTTCAAGTTCTAGAAAAGAGTTGGGGGCAAAAGGAAAATACTGTATGAGACATGCACGTTTTCCTGGCGTCAGGAAGCCGGTGAGTGCATGAGAATTCCTTAGTCTGGGAAACACCGGTGGGAGTCAGTTTGGTCCCTGGGAGACGTCTTTCCAGCTCATCCTCACTTTCTATTTTCTTTGGAAGTAGAAGGATGTAGAGTTAGGTAGCAGGACCACCAGGCTTAGAAGATTATTGAAATCATCAAAATATGACAAGGGAATAGAAGTGAAAAAACAATGATGGATATAAGAAGGGTTTCTTGATCATGTTTGCCTTTTATTCTAACTGGTTGTGTTACAATTTTGAGTTAAAAGGTAGGATACAAATTATTATATGTCTGGTGTGTAACTACAACTACATAAAAACAAAGTACATATAAAGAGAGGACTCGAAAGAAATACAGGAGAGGCTTCTGTTAAGCAATGGTCATTTTATTTCTTCTGGGTTTTCAAACTTTTTCATGTTTTCATAGTAAGAAATATACATAATTTTTTATCTTTATTCAAGTTATCAGTGTTAGTAAAATTATATAGGTTTCAAGTGTACAAAATATACATGACTTTTGTTAAGAAGAAAGTAACATTAACATTTTTCACATAACCTTGGTAGATGAGACCATTGGCAAAAAAGGAGCCTGCTTTTAAGAGAAAAATTTTAAGATTACAGTAGCCCTCCTTATCCATGGTGTCACTTTCCAGGGTTTCATATACCATGGTCAGTGGCAGACTGAAAATATTATATGGAAAATTCCAGAAATAAGCAGTTTGTATGCTTTAAATTGTGTGCTGCTGTGAGCAGCATGATGGGGCCTTGTGTGGCCCCTCTGCACCCCATGCGCACCGCCCACCCCTTGTCAGCACAGCCACTCTGTCTCCACCGCCGCCCACAGTCTCCGAGTGGCATCTCGGGCATCAGGTGATCAGAATGACTGTCAGGAACGGCAGTGCTTGCGTCCTCGCCACCCTTATTTTTCTTAGTAATGACCCAAAGCACAGCAGCAGTGAGGCTGATGATCAGATGTGCCAAAGAGAAGCCAGATGTGCCTCCTTAAGTGCAAAGGTGAGAGTCCTCGACCTTTGCAGGGAGAGGAAGGGGAAAACCATGTCGCTTAAGTCTGCAGCAGGAAGGAATCGTCTGTCAGTGAGAATGCCTGGTTTATGAAGTGAACTTGATCATAGGCGTGTGTGCATAGGAAAAAACATCAGTCGCTTTGCAGACATCCACTGGGGGTCTTGGAACGTGTTTCCCTCAGATAAGGGGGCGACTATGTATCTAAACCAGGAAGCCTGCCATGATATTGTCCTCAGTCACCTTTGGTAGCTTCCCGATAAACTGTTTATATGGAGAAAAAACAAGGTGGCGATAGGAATTGCAAACGACATTACGGAGATTGTTTGGTTAATGCCCACACTCTCACATCAAACCCATTAGCACAGCTTTAAATCAGTAACTTGCTAACCTTCCGTCAAAGTGGGAGTGGGGGAGAGGGAGAAAGGAAGGGAGGAGGCTTTCTGGAGATGAACGGAAAATAGACTGTAATGAAGAGAAGAAATAAGAGCTCAGAGCATGTGCGTCGGTGCTGACTGGACGCTAGATGAATGCCTTTACTTCCCACCTAAGGGAGAACATGGAGCATTTCCAAAATGGACCTGAAGTTTAGCCTGTCTGGTCCAGCTTGATTGTGAGCATCCCATTGTAAATATCACTCCCAAATCTAGAAAAAAACAGACACATGTCACAGATCCACCCAGTCATCCCGTGTCCTAACGGAATTGTCTGGATTTTCGAAATGCTTAGGACAAACCCAGGAATTCCAAAGCTATTTAATGCTATTTAATTCTGGATCATGCATTCTGGAGATATCATCACTTTAGTAGTGTTGAGGGTAAAACTGGGTGATGAAATCTTGAGTGTAAAAATAAACACAGAGTCCTCTGCAATGGCTATAGGCCTCTCCACTTGGTCACAAATAGCATTTCTGCTACTGATTCTAGAAACCTTACATGGTCTAGCAGGGCACGTGCCCAGTCAGCGCTTTCCTTCTCAAAGTCCCTGTGGTTTTCTAATAAGCAAGCTAAATATAGGCACTTGCAATTTGATTTTAATAAAAATGGACTCCTCCTCCTGATAAATCCTGCTGTTCTTCTGCTTTAGAAAACAAGACCTAGGAGGATGTAAGCAGCACTAAGTGTGTAGCCCCAGGAAGCGGAGATCAAACACCTGACACTCCCCTCCCCCATCCTGAGTGGTCCTCAGAGCGCCTTCAAGTGTGAGAGTAGCTGATGCTCTGAGCTGCGTACCTACTGTGATAGTAGGTGACAGTGTGAAGTGCTGGTAGTAATGTTGCTGTTATGTTTGAAGTGACACTTTTAGGAGGTTGTACTGACAAAAAGGCACACTTTGGGGACCATGACATATTTATATCATGTCACCGAAATTAAGAAAATATGAAGTGTATAAAAGTTAGGTAATAATCAACCGGTTACTTACAAGGGTAGAAAAGATCATATTTCAGACTATCATAAAGCATACCACTTTGATTTTGACTAACTATAACAAATACTCATGACTTTGTACCTTCATGTTGAGAAGAGTTATATATGTAGGTACGGTTGTTGCCAAAAATAAAATCACAATATTTTGTGGCCTGGAAACTGAAAGGAGCTCCAAGTGACCAAAGCAGATGATACCAACCAATTCCTAGTCTCACCGTCTGTGAATCAATAATAATTCTTCCGGAAACCACTCAGCATCATAAGACTGCACTCATTTTAGCTAAGGCGGCTGTGATACTTACAGTTCCCTTAAAACTTGAAAGATGTTTATAAATTTTGGAATTTTCCCCAAGAGAGCCTGACTGCCACTATTGTACAGGAATAGGTGGTTAAATGTTTACATGACACAATATTTGATTTAAAACCACTGTTCTGTTAGTATGAAATAAGAGCTAACTTTTTATAATATCCTTAAAAGCAAAGAAAAAACTCATGAAGCACGTAGAAATGCGGCACTTGATAAAGTATGCCCCCCACCCCAGCCGTGTATCGTGACAAGGCAGAGCTGGTGGAAATATTGCAAACGCTTAGGCCATCCCAAGTCACAGTACAGATTCCTTGCAGCTCATCCAGTTCACCTCTAGGCTTTTTCTGCATTTTTGGTAGCTATTTCTAACTTTGAATATCTGCATTTTCAAAATTGAAATAAAACTTGCTGATATGTGAGCTACATCATTTAATTATGCTCACTGCTGAACTCGGGCTTTCCTCTAAGTTAAAAATGCTTGGTTTTTCTCACCAGCGCAGAGGTGGGACTTGGACCCTCATATCGCAAACCACTAGTCGTGGAATCGCGGTCTCTTTCTCAGACCCCCTAAAACTCAATGTCCTCATTTAAAAATAGCCTGGTAATGACTTAGCAGGGTGAGGAGTGCAGCGGCTGTCCCGTAGAGACTGGCAAGCAGGGGGTGCTCATACGTGCTGGGGATGTCACCGTTATCCTTCTTTTCAGTTTCAGCTCAACTGCAGCCAGCCCCTGGTGAGCTGAACAGGTGGAGACAGAGGCAGCCACGCGTGCGTGCACCGTGACTCGAGCCCCAGCTTACTTCTGAATCCCCTTCTGTCCAGAAAAAGCCAGTAAGTACACTAGGGCCTGAGGTGCTGCCTTCTCCGCTGCTTCCTGAGATCGCTACACGTCCACGAGGACTGAGAAGCCATGGGATTGAGCCCTGCAGGCTGGGTGTTAGAGAATCTATAAACACATTTTGGAAATAAGTCAAAGAATGACTTTAAAGCAGAGAGCAAAACGGTCATGACCTCACATTATCTAAGCTTAGACTGAGGGATCGCAGGGTGATGCGTATTCCACTGCTGGTGAGACTTCGAGCCACGTTTGGAAGGAAAAGAAAACGAGCGAGGACGAGGGAGGCAGCACCGAAAACAGAGCCAAAGTCTGCACGGGCTCATGCAGCCCACACTGGGGATGGGCTGTCACAAAAGTGACGAGTCGGTCCCCCTCCAAAGGCTAACAGCAGGCCTGCAGGACACTTGGCAGGCAGGCTGGCCGAATTGGGGCAAAGCCTCATTTCCCTGCTCAGTATGGGCTCAGGAAATGCTAGCTTTTCCAGACACCATCCTCTGGTCACATTGTCCCTGTTCCCTACAGAACGGCCATCGCAGTGGACGGGGAGCTCAGGCCCGCCCTGCCCGGCGCGTTGGGTGGAGGTCAAGTGGAAGTTTTAGCCCATGAGCTATATTCCTTAAGCACACACGGCACATATTTTTAGACTTTTGGGGCACATCTTAACGTCTTCACTGTTATCCTTAATTTTATGTGGCTCCTTTCACATATGGGTGTGTTTACAGGTGATGTCAGTTTCCTTATTCGACCTTTCCAAGATTCTGGAGTTGGTGTTCTTGGCCCTGCACTCTGCCTTGGTTTTTTGTTTGTTTGCTTGCTTGTTTGTTTGTTTTGAAGGGACACAGTCTAGATACGTGTATAGAAAACCTATTGGGTTGTCAGAAAAGTCATGAGGTATTTTTCTGGTTTTCATTGCAAAAATGCGTCATGACTTTTCCGAAAACCCAGTACTTTTTGTCCTGTTTCTCCTTTACCCTCACGCGCCACCACCCTCGGCACACTCTGACCCCAGATGCGGGGGTTCTTTCCAAATGCCAGGCAATGCTCTGACGGACACAGCTAGGTGTCCCACAGTTCAATCCAATTCTGACCTCAGATGCCAAGGACATAGTCCCAGGAGACTGTCCCCCTCTTCAGATGCCGATCACAAGTAATAGGTCCCCAACTGCCCACAACTTCCGCCTGGCTTTGATTCCAGTCGGAAGCTCCCGTGACATCACGTTGGGTTCCATGCTTTGCCAGAACAGCCCACAGAACTCAGGGAAACCCTTTCTTCCGTTTAGCAGTTTGTTGTATGATAAAGAATGCAGCTTAACAGCCAGGTGAAGGGGTACATGGCGAGATCTGGGAGCGTCCTGAGCGCAGGCGCCTCTGTCCCCGTGGAGTTGAGGTGTGTGGCCGTCCTGAGCGTGGGTCACCCACCTGAAAGGTCTCCGAACCCTGTACTTGGGGGATGTTTGTGGAGGCTTCGTCATGTAGACAGGGCCCTCAGTAACTGGGCTCCCAGTCCCTCTCTCCTTGCGGCAGGATGGGGGTGGGGCTCGCACATCCAAGCTTCCCTGACGGGGCCTTTCTGAGAAGTAGCCCCACCCAGGAGCCCACCAAGCATTGCCTCATTAGAACAAACACACTGCTGTCACCCAGAAAGTCACAGGGGATTGAGGGCCTGTGTCAGGGGTGGGGTCACAGAGCAAATATTAGAACAGAGGCCGCTCCCAGTGCTCTGGTCACTTAGGAAGTCACAGGGTTTTCGGAGCTCTGTGCCAGGGCCCGGGGTAGGTAGATCTACAATAAGATTCAGACAGGTCACAGACAATGCCAGGCCATCTCTTATCTCAGACACAAAACATAAGTAAACCCTTGGCATCGCATGTTTTAGTTTCCAGACTTCCTCACGCTCACTGGCTAATTTTTGTTAGGGAAGGAGAAACTGGAGGATTGACGGGGAAGGATAACTCCTTACGCTACACACACACACTCACACACACACTCACACACTCACTCACTCACTCACACACTTACACTCACACTCCAGCCCACATATCTACAATGGTAATAATATGTAGCTATCATTCTTCTAAGTCTGAACATATTAATGTTAAGTAAATGTCACATTTAAATTTGATTTATTCTTTTGGTTGACAGATTCCAGTCCCATATGCTTTTTAAAATTTCTTTTTCACTGTTGCATATTAGGATGAGCTGTTCTAATATGTGAAACTGACAAGTCAGTCACATTTTTTATGTCAGTCTAGATAAGGATTTAATAAAGTATTAGCTTGTAATACACTTAGTTTTTTTTCAAATTCCGGATTAAATTTATTTTAAAGTACTAAACAAACCTCCAAAATATGTGGGTTAAATATATTTCTGCTCTCGTGGGGCCATGCAGAGCGGGCTGAGGTGGAGCTGCTCCATGTTTGCCTGGATGGATTTTTACATCAAATCCATGAGCCAGGAGAAGGTTAGGAATGGTTCTAATACGAGACGGGATAACCTCCCTTAACACCTCAAGTCTCTTTCAATAGTACATTTGTTTATCATTTAATTTTCATTTTAAAAATTTACTTTCTGAACATTTTCAAACATACACAAAAGTAGAGGGTAGAGCATAATTGATTCATACATTTTATACAAACCAAAGCCTTTTACTGCTGCATTTCATTACTTTTTAGTAAAATACAATTCAATTTATTTAAAGGGAAATGGATTTTGAAACACTTAAAAGTTTTTTGGAGAGCAAATAATTCTCTGAAAGAATTATATTTGATAAAAGAGTATTAATAAGTCCGTAACATGGGAGTCAATTTTCCTTTAAAGTTAATATGAAACCACTGGGAGTTTTCTCATTGAAAACTGAGAGCTTTCAAAATGGTTCACTGTCTCTTAAAAGGAAAAATTTATGTATTTGTAATCTGAAGAATTGAAATGTTTTGTAAATATTTAAAAATTTCAAAGTGAGAACTTCTGAGGTTGTTTTAAACACACCTTTTCAAAAATCTAAGACATAAGCAAACATTTCAACTTGTTGAATTTTATTTAAATTACTAACAAGGAAAAATGTATCTCAGAACATAAAGAAATATGTAAAATGGAAGTAGTGATATTATGATTTTTAATAATTTAATAGCTTCTCAATTAATAGCCATTACTCAGATTCCTCAAAATGAACAAAGTAAACCCAGAAACAAAATATTTACAGTGTGAGAAAATGCACAACTCTTGTATTGTAAGACGTGCTAATTTGATTCTCTAATACAGTGTGTGTGTGTGTGTGTGTCTCCCAGGTTGAAAGTGTGAACTTTTTTGGTTGCTTTCCTAGGGACACAGCTTGGCAGACTGGCAAATGGAAAATTCCATCAGCCGTCTAACACAGTCTTGAGGGGATGGTTTTTTAGGGCTCTCTACCTTCTTCTCCTTTTAAACTAAAGAGAGTGATAGGGAACAGGAACATTTGATTGTTGGCTAAGACTTAATCACGGAAACTCAGTTTTAACCATGACTACAGGGGCAGGCGGGTCGGGGTGCTCACAGAAGGCTCGTGTTCTCGTCAGGCTGCCGGGCCCATCCCACGAGAGGCTTCTGAGGACGGTCGGTCTGTCTGTCCTCCCTCCCTCGGCCTCTGCCTCATGTTGCTTCTCAGAATGGACAGGAAACCTGTCTGCTCTGGCCATTATGCAGGAGAGGGCCAAGTGTCCCCCTGTGACTTCAGAAAGGATGTCACTAAGGGGAAACCTGTGATTACTTCAGACAGAAGTGTCCCAGCGTGGCTGTCCAGCCCTCACTCAAGTCCCCGGCTTTTATACGCATAAAATGTTTCCCGGCCCGGACAAGCAATCTGTATGCCAAGTAACATGTCACACGAAAGCGTTCTTTCGTACCTCTTCTCTTAGGTGACTTGTTTGAAAAATTATATATGTGATATACAGTAATGCCTTGGTCTGCGAGCATAATTCATTCTGGAAACAAACTACTCGCATTGCAAGACATGGCTTGTTTACCACGTTCAAACGTATTAGAGATGTCTGCTCGGCTTGCGGAACACTCGCAAGCCAAGTTCCTTGCAATCCCAGGTTTTACTGTATAGGATAGCTGTATCACATATATGTTATATAACTGCATAGGAATATGTATTTCACATGCACACGTATGTATGTTTCATATATATAAATGCATGTGTGTGTTCACAATATCAATAGGAGCCTGTGTCCTCGAGCACATGAGAACAACCGATGCTCTAAGCGGTGGCGCCTGGCTGTGGACCTCAGGCCGTGAACGTTCTGGCACAGTAGCTGCGCTGACGCACCTCGGGCCGGGTTGTGCCTGGCACCAGCGGCGCGTGCACGCCAACGCTTCTGCTTCTGCTGTCTCAGTCACGGCGTTTCTCCCCTTGCAGGTCATGTCCGGAGGGCTCTGCGGCGGCCTCGCTGTGGGACGCGTCCGGGGTCCGCGCGGCTGCCCGCGGCCGTCCCGCCGTCACGCGCTGTGACCCCCCCACCTCCGCGCATGGTCGGCGATGGTGACATGAGCCGCGGGGAGGCGGCACCGGCAGCCCCGCGTCCCGGCCCCGCGATGGCCCGCTAGGGCGAGGCCCGCCCGCCATGCACCTCGCCGTGCGGCTGCGCCGGCGCTTCCGGACGCTGGTGGCGCTGCTCGCCGCGCTCTGCGTGCTGAGCGTCGCGCTCTCCGCCTACTTCCTGTCCTCGGGCCGCCGGCCGCGCCTGGCGCTGGTCGAGGCCACCGCGGG